TGCTTCAAAACATTCAGTTCTTCCCATCTAGAACATATTTACGTCAATCAGTGATTTCAAAGGTGAGAAACAGTTTAAAAAACACACAATGGCCTCTCTTTCTGAATGGATGAAGGTTGGAAGTGTTGGGTAGATGGGCTGCCTGTTGACACGGGTTTGCCTCCATGCGTGGTGGGTTTCCTCATGAGATCTGAAAGCCCCACACCCACCCACACCATGCGTGGGCAGTTTCAGCTAGCCACACAGGCCTGGGATGAGCATGGAGACTGAGTCATGTTCTCACCCTTAGCGTGGTCCCTCCAGGTCAGGGGGTAAACGCGCTGGCCGGGTGCTGTGGGCAGGCCTGCCCTGCAGCCGGGAGCACAGAACTTGTTCTGTGGATAAATGGAAAACTCCAGTTCAATCGCTGAGCTACCCCAGCAAGCAACACCCGTGGAGATGTCAAGCATGAGCTGACGGCCTTCTTGGATCAATCGCAAGTCTGTTGGAACTCAAAGCACGTAGCCACCTCTGATGCTAGGAATTGTACAGGGAAGAAAACTGCCGCCAGAGCAGCTCTGGCTTTAGGGAGGATTTTCATGTTAATTGTGCTATCATCTATACAAAGCATCCCTTATGCTGAATTCTAGGGGCCATGACATCCCACTCCCAAGAGTAACTGACTCTGGACTCGCCACTCACCCACACCAAACCCTCAACAGCAGAGTTTACACAGGGTTTTGGTACAAATCTTCCCTCTCGGTTTAATCCCTTATTACTTTGTTCCTAATAGCATATTTGTGATAGGTGTGATAGGTGAAGATCAAACCTTGCAGATTTCATGTATCTTATTTACAGCATGCCTGATAAAGCATCTTCATATTAATATTTTCCACATGTAAAAAGAAGTGAATCACAAGAAAGGTCTTGGGAGACAGGAGTGCACTCCATGGGGTTTTTGACATTGACATTCAGTGGGCTATTCCATTGTGGAATTCTTTAGTCAAGTTATCCCTTGTGTGTTGTGTTTCCCCTTACGTTTTGCTTCAGGATCCAGTAAAGGTTGGCATGGTATTCATCTTTTAGAAAAAAAAAAAAAAATGTTGAAATGCTGATATATTATTGCACATCCTAGAATTCTTGCATTAAATTTGATGATTGAAAATACTAAATTCCAACAGCATTTATTTGAATGCCTGAGTTTTCTGATGCCCTTTTATTTTGTGCCTACTGCAGGTGCTTCAAGGAACCCTGGTGGCGTAATGGGTTAAACATTGGGCTGCTAATCACAAGGTTGGCAGTTCAAATTCACCAGCTGCTCCAAGTGAGAAAGAAGAGGCAGTCTGCTTCCTTAGACTGACAGTCTCGGGAACTCCATTAAGTAGTTCTCCATGTCCTGTAGTGTCGCGATGAGTAAAGAGCACCTTGGCAGAAGTTAGGGGTGGGCGCCTCACTTGCCTCATCCGACCCCTGCCCTGCTCTGATACCTTTCTTCTGTTTTACATTCCTGCATCCAATATGCTCATCTCCTATGTCCAGACATTTGTACATCAAAGAGGGGGCAGGGAATCTGTTTTAAGTTCCTTTGAAGGAAAGAACTTCGAATTGTAATAAATATACCAGACAAGCAATTGAAAACTGCTTTTCGCATCCTTTGTAGCAAAAACCTCTTGTAATCTCGTTTTGGTATCACTGTAGGTAGACAAGCACCAGAAAAAAGAATCCATCTTCCTTTCACTCCCCCAATTCCCAATGTTGCATAAAGAAAGGAAAAATGCAAACCCAAACAAAACATTACCTTCCCAAATGTCCCAAAAGGTTTGAGCTCTCAAAACAGAAATCATAAGAAACATTTTCTTATGTTCTTGATTTTATGCGCTCTTGAAAACATGTTTCTTTGTCTCTCCAAAGAAAATCACGTGCAGTTTCCACTTGGCATCACAAAAACGCCCCTTTTATTTCGCTATGAGGACGAGTGGCAAAGGACAGAAACTTCAGGAACATGAAATCATTCTCAAGCTTTCAGCTGATTTTTCACTAAGTAAAGGCTGCAAAACCAAAGCCCTGTTCATTCCTACTACGCTGTTGAGGCTGCGCATGCTCTCACCTCCCAGGCCTTCCTGACATTCACCTGGCCTGTTGTGAGCAGGTCATCTGCCTGCTTTTACCCCTTTACTCCTATATCTATGAAGCAACACCAACACCCTTCCTCGCATCATGCATGCACAGGTGAGCTTAGCTGGTAGACATAATATCACAGTTCCAGGGACCTGGGTTCTCTCTGAGCCATATTGCTTACACAGATGGCCATCTCATGGGAACCAAGGTAGAAAGGTAAAATCCAAAGTTTAACTCTAACACTTGCTTTATCACGCACTAGATACAATTCTAAGAGTACAAGTTTGTCCATTTGGCACCACCTTTTCTGACTCTAGTTTACAGGCAAAAAAACTAAGACAGAAAGACATTAAAGAATTTCCCCAAGACCACACAGCAAAGGAACTGGAATTTCTACTCAGGTGGTCTGGCTCCTGATCTGAAGCTTGTGACCAGTGTGTTACACTATATAAAACCATCACTGGGAAAACTGGGTTACTGATGCAAAATTAGTAAGTCCATAGAGCCAGCACCACCTGGCAGTTAGGGTGACCACATCTATCATTACTGCTTCTTTATGTAAGCGTACCTTTTAGCTAGGCCTGGTGGCAGAGTGCTTGAACCCTCCCCGATTAACTGAAAGGCTGGCAGTTTGAATCCACCAGCCGCTTCATGGGAGACAGATGGGGCGCTCAGCTTCTATAAAGATGACAACTTTGGAAATTAGACTTGAGGCAGTTCTACTCATCCTGTAGGGTTGCTATGAGCTGGAATAGACTCAAATGGCAATGGGTTGGTTGGATCTGGTCCTCTCTCTGGTCAGCCCCCTTCTTGCACCCTATCTAGCTGGTACATTGACTGTCCAGGCCAGACCCTGGATCCCACATCCCTGTCACCCTCCTCAGCCTTCCCAGTTCACTGCAAAGCCTTCCTGTTGTTGGAAGCCAATCCCAAGACTATAGATCATCCCTCTTACCCTGTTTCAAGCTCTATGTGGATTTAGAGTGCTTCCCTTCTTTTCTAAACACAGGGACTCCTTCCAATCACAGAGAGTTTGGAGCGATACCAGTACCCAGCCGGTATCCTGGAACAAATGAATCTTAGCATTTCTGGGGCTGGTTCCCAGGCACAGGCTTTTGTCCAGCTCCTCAGGTGATTCCAGTGGGCAGGCAAGTCTGAGAACCACTAGTCTAGCACATTCTGCCTTGCCCTCGGTGGCACCCTTCAACCACCACCACATGCTCACTACTATTTTGACTCTTGGAGGCCTCCTCCAACATGTCTGTAAGCTTTTCAAGGCAAGAATCAGCCTAGATATTTTAAGGCCTTTGTACTCAACGAATGAATCACGGAACAACGGCAGCAGCACCTGGGTGCCAGTTCAAAATGCAGATTCTCAGCTCCCACCCTAGCCCTTCCCCCGGCCCCCACCAGACCTACTAATTCAGCAACAGCATTTTCATAGGGTCCCTGGAGATGATGTTCTAAATGTTGCTTAATGAAGTATTCACAAATAGAAAGGTCTGTTTTCTTGCCTAACAGAGGGAGATGAATGAGTTCATTAAAGTTCTGGAGATACATGATGTACTTATGAAGAAGAACCATTTGTTAGCTGAAATTAGAACTGATGCTTTGATGAGGGTTAAAAGTCTCGGGAAAATTTAACTGAGCCCAACTCCGACATGAGGAGTTGTGCCAGGACCTGTGCCAGGTCAGCCTGCTTTTCTCACTCTTGGCTCATGGGTTTGAGTTCAACCCGACTGTTTCTGAACCTGAATTTGGCCTGAACAAAGGACACAGAGGTGGTCTTCAACAAATACATTTGAAAGGTGACCCAATCACAGTTCTCTGCTCAGCAGTAAATGAAAAACGGGGTAAAAACGACATAGACTTTCTCTTCACCAAATGTCTCTAAGTAGTAATTTTTTTGTACCTAAAATAGCTTTCAATGAAAATTCATTCATTAAATTTGACATTAAGCCATAGGAACAACTTACCATATGTGATTGCTTTTCAGACACCATGGTATATAAGACATACCATTATTTTAAATCCAATCAAGAAAGGAATTCTATGAATTAAATTAGGACAAGTCATCCTAAGTTCAAAGATGACAAGATATGGGGGTAATGTGTTGTAGAATTGTTAGTAGATTGGAAATACAATGCAAACAACACTGTCATGAAAGGATAGCAGTTTTCTTGTCACAAATTCAAGGTCCAGTTTCATGGTAGCAACATGACTGCTGGTTAATGAGGTGCTATTATTTCCTTAACGGACTTTGCCAAATGTTCAACACCTCCATCCACTCTGAACCAGTGTGTATGTGTTGGTATTAACAATGAAATGTGACTAATAGAAAACGTCAGAACTTCTCCTTTGGGGGCAAAAATGGCGGCCAACCAGTGCCTGCAGCAAACCATCCATTTTTCTCATGTGGAGACCTCTGTGCATTCTTACCACAAGGATACTACGTTAGAACAGGAGAGCCAAAAGAGTGCCTACCACTAATTTCAAATGGGCCACTAGATGGCGATCCGCTAAGGCTTGTCCCGTGGTTCAGCAAGAAGTAGAATCACTGATGCTTTTTGTGGTCCCTGGAGCATCTTGCCAGTGAGTTAGGGCTCCACACTCCTACACCAACCCCCTCAAAGCACCTTAACAAGCTAGAGGAAGCAACGGTGGATGGATGGGTGGGGTGGGGGCAGACCAGAAAAAGTCCCTAAAGTGGTTTCCAGTGTGTTAAGTGGATAGCTAAGACTGAAGCATTTTCTGGTTTGGTGGACGGATCAGATTTGTAGAAAGTGGTCAAAATGTCATTTCAGGTGGCATTGCATGGAGTTGAGTAAACTCTGCTAATTCTTTAGAAACGTAAATAGACATCCCCAACATAGATCAGAAGACAGAAAAAGTGCAACACTCACGATGACTGGGAAGCCTTTCTTCTGAGTAAATAGTCCACGACATCGGGGTCGGTCTCCAACAGGCTGATCAGCACTTCGTTCTGGAGATCCGGGGAAACCTAGAGAGGTCAGATGATGAGCCAGGAGGAAAACCATTTTGGAAAAGGTACACCATGGTCCTTAGCAACTTTACAATAGCATAAAAGAGACAGACACATCGTAAGAAAGCAGAGAGGGGTGTCGGTGAAAACCAAACCTATGACAACATGTATAGTCCGTTTAAGTCTAAAGAGAATTTGGATGAATAACTAATACTCACATTCAATCCAAAATAAATGGCACTTTTCCTATGCGTGAGGCAGACCTAATCACTCGGAAACCTGTTGCTCAGGTTAGATTTTCTTGGCTTTGAAAAAGGAAGATATGGTGGGTTAAGAGGTATGGTGTCCAGAATAAATGGGGTCACTTTCTGGAGTTTGTATTGGTAATTATACAAAGATAACAGATATATACATTATGACATGTCATCAGTCTGTTCAAAGGATAGGCATTTGAGCTAGGCTTGCCTGTGTTTTAATCCCATTTCTACCACTTACTAGTGGTATAGTATAGTGGTTACAAATCGGGCTGCAAACCTCAAGGTCAGCAGTTCGAAACTACCAGCTGCTCTGCGGGAGAAAGATGAGGCTTTCTGCTCCCTTAAAGATTTACAGCCTCGGAAACCCTGTTCAGGGTCGCTATGGGTCGGAACCGACTCAACGGTACTTAACAACAACCACTAGCCATGGGATTGGATCTTTAACCAAAACCCCAAACCAAACCCATGGCCATCAAGTGGCTTCAGGCTCGATGGGACCATGTAGGACAGAGTTTTGCAAGGCTGGAAATGAGTGGCTGCTGGGTTTGGTTGGCGGCTTTGTGCTTTAACCACTGTGCCATCACATCCTTTTACTTGGTCTCAGTTTCCTCATCTATAAAATGGGGATAATAATAGTATTCGCCACAAAGGGTGGAAGGAGTTATTAAATGAGTTGTTATATATGAAGAATTCCAAACAGTACCTGGCTCATCATAAATACTAAAAATAACATTAACAGCAAACCCATGTTGGCTGCTTGCACACACCACTTGAACGTTCTGTGCTGCCTTAACTCCTTTCTGGGATCCTGGTCCATCCTCAATGAATAGTTTCTTATTCCTAACCTCATGAGGCAATCCCTAGAGTTCTTTAGGATACATGCCACACACTTCTCTGAGCTCAACCCGAAGTGCATTAGTAGATGGCTTTGCAGCCCTGACTCACACATGTGGGAATGGTCAATGGGAGATGATTTAATCCAACTCCACTGGTTTTCTACTCTGTAGATGCTAGTAGCCCAACCAAAGGAAATCAAAACTGTGGGGAGAAAATCAGGTTTGGGTCTGATTCTCTCACACGTGGGCTCAGGGAGGAGACGCTGGATGACTGCAAGGGCAAGTCTTCTGAGAAGTGGTTGGTGGAAGATTTTTCCTTCTTCGTCTTGCAGAACTCAGTTGCTATTGAGTCCTGAGAAGCTGGAAACAATTTTATTAATAAAAACAGGGATGAGAAAACAAGAAAAACTCTTTCCTCTTCTCATAAATCTGTTCCTTTTACTTCATTCTGCATCTTCATTAATGACAATGCCAAACCCGAGTCACACAAGCTCACAATCTCAGAATTGTATTTAAACCTCTGTGTCCTCTCCCCTAACCCCTGGGAGCCGGGAGAGCGACTTGATTCCATTTTCATGATGCATATTACTCCTGTCCTCTCTCTTCCTTACCAAAGGAATTGCCGAAGTTCCAGCCCTAATTACTGCTTTGTATTGGCCATCTGTTGGCCATTATAAGCCTCCACTTCCCTCTTGTTTGAAGTGTTACATTCTCATTTCCCTTTAAAGAATCAACTGTTTGCTAACCCTTAGCTCAAGCCTAAAGCATGCACCCTAGTCTAAGTCTATCAATCGTTCCATTTCCCAGATCACTATGGTTGCATGTGACTATGAGCAACGGGCATGCGACTCCCCTAGAGGCAATGGGAAGCCATGAGACTACGCTTGAGACTCCTGAGAGGTACAGGTCCTGGGACCCTGTAGTCACCTCGTCACCAACCACATGGGGCCTGATCACTGTATCAGTAATTGAGGAAACAATATCAAGAAACCGAAACACAGAGAAAAGGGATCGCTTGACATCACTTGAGTCATGGATAAAGCTATACCTGAAATCATATTCATTCTGGGATTGTTCAGTTATGTGAACCCAAGATTCCCTTACGTTAGAGACTGAGTTGAGTTCTTAGTTTAAAGGCAAGACACATCCTTCATGCTCCTTTGCTGCAATAGCTTGCTAACATGTGTAGTAGCTCTCTTCTTCAACACGTGCATCAAATTTGTTCTCTACGTGGTGGTCCAATCGAAAGACATGCTCTCTCAGAGACCTTACTTATCTTTATACTGAGGTCCTCTGCTTGTCCGCTGTCTTTAATATGCTTTCCTGGTATCTTCCCCTACGGGGAATCCTCATATACCCTCTACTGCAGCACCACTGCATTTTCTCACTGTTGGCTTTTCCCAGCCCTGGTCCCATGGTTCACGCAGGCGCTGGATGCTGGGGACTGACTTGCAAACCAAACCATTCAGAGCCATTGTCCTCACAGAGTAGATCACAAGGAGAAGAACATCACAGAGTAGGCGGATGGAGGAAGGGAGGCCGCAGAGAAGATGACATTTTAACAGAGAACTGAATTTGATGAAGGAATTGAAGAAAATCCTTCCAGGCAAAACAGACCAAAAAAAAAAAATCTAGTAAAAATCTTGATTCAGATAAACAAGGAGATCAGTAAGGTTGGAAAAGAATGAAGAAGGAGGCGAGCAACAGGAAGTGGGTCAGCAAGGTGGCCAAGCCCAGATGTTGCGGATTCTCCTGGGTGATGTTAAGGGCATCTGCTCTCATTCTAAGTGGGATGGGGAGCCACTGGAGGTTTGAGTAGAGGACTGACAGGAACTGACATCATTCTGACTGCTGACTTGAAAACAGATAGCAGGGACGCAAGGGAAGGAAGCATGAGGAACAGAAAGGAGCTGTTGAAATAATCCAGATGAGAGATGCTAAGAGTGCTGAGCCAGGAGGGTGAGGAAATGAGAGAGTGAAGACAGTGGATCCTGGAGATAGTGAAGGTAGAGCTGGATATATTAGCATATTTACTGGATGGATGGATGGATGGATGGATGGATGGATGG